TTTCAGTCAGCAATAGACTTGCAGCCACAAATATGAAACTGACACCCCGTGCACAAAGTAAAATATATTGGATTTTGTATAAACTGAAAGGCAGGCATCCCAAGAAATGTAATTTCAAGGTAAGGCCACCTTTCCTTGAAATATTAGGTTTGATAAAAGCGTGTTGTTAAAAGACGAATCGTTAAACCGAAACTGAGAAGTTAACGTCGCATGAACTAAAAAGCTACCAAGGGTTATACAAAGGCCAATGCATGGAATATGGACTCTGGTTCACTCAAACGGACGACGGCCTAGTGATAAAATATATTGGCACGAAAGGTAACGAGACCTAACAGCTGACTTAAAGGGTGGAGAGCTTGGAAATAAGCACGTCTGCCGAAATAGTACGGAAAAATTCATAGGAACTCTGAAAAGATTTATTAACGGTATTAGCTCAGGGTTTGTTGAATAAATTATCCGGTGTAATACAAGCAGTTAAGAACAGGGCAGTTAGTTCCAATAAGAATTTACTAGGAGATAAAAGGAATAAAAACCTCTGTGTTGGAAGTCAACAGTTAATTAGCCCCCAAGAAACACTAGGGCACAGAAAGCAAAATAAACTCGTAAAGTATAAGAGCGAGAATGAATGTGAGTCTATATCATCTAAAAAAGTACAATTTTCAAAAATTAGAATTGAAAAGGGTGGTTGGGGAATTGAGGATGTACCTGACACGATAGTGACACAAACAGATCGGATTTGACGTCGACTGCATTGAAAAGTTCGTTGCTAGTCTAGACGGTCAAATAAAGATTAAATGACAGCCAACCAGCGTTTTGTGTATGTTCGCATGCCAAGAGTCATTCGCCTTTCGCGGCTGAAACGTTAGGACGTCCCAATTAGTATCGAGAAAAGGGAATATTTCGTGCTCCTCTGAGAAACAAACACGGCCACCATGAGTGCACATAAGATTGGCTAAAGCGGTCTGACACATGATGGCAAAGTTAGCCTGCTTCTTTGAAAAAACTTCTTCATCCGAATTATTGCATTTTTTGCACATGAAATGGTATGCAGTCATAAAAGGCAATGACGGACTACTAAATGATGACAGGATCACACGCTTACCCGACATCGAAAGTAATGCACTTTTGGTGAAACCAGTGGTAGCAAACACTGCATAAAAACTCTGGTTCACGAAAGTCTCGTGGGTTGCCACTATGAAAGACAAATATTACTGAGAGGGATCAAAAGAAAAAAGTACCAATAGCACTGCGGCCCCGGAGGTATTTCGATATGTGTTGTTTTCTGCTTTAGTTCAGATATAAGTTTTTCATAATCTTGGGGGGTCTCATGACTTTCTTCTTCAGCCTTCATCTGCTGTCTATTTTGCAGAAAAAAGTGTACCAGTCAAGCAAAAATAGGCACACACCACAATTTGCAAAAATGCGTATAAAATTACTTATTCAAAGTGTCTTTGAAATTCAACTTGTGCTACAAAGAATATCCCGGAATCCACATATTTTTCGCAACATATCTCAGAAACGCGTTCTCAGAAACTGTTGCCTTGGATGCCATTTTGTTATGTTTTTTGAATTACACTTATCTGAAAGACTATGAAACGTCTCCTTGATGTCGAAGAAAGAGACTGCTACCGAGGAGCTCCTATTTTTCTTTTCAGTTCCATTTTTCCTGCGGATGCATACCACACAAAACATTATTTATCTCGGCAAAAACCTGTTAGGAAGCAAAAATTGCTCCTTTTGTTTCACTTCTTGCCTGGGTTCCTTTGCATCCACATATTTTTACAAAGGCTATACAGGTACAGGATTTTATACCACATAATTTCTTCATTCCGGAAACAAAGTTAAAACTGTACCGCCTGTTTGTTTGTGCCTTTCTAGAATACTGCGGTCCACTACTTGGTCTGCTGAACGCCTCTAACCGCAATAAGATTGAAAACGTTCATTCTTTACTCGAAGAGTATTTTCTCTTTTGTGGTGAGGTGTCAGTTAGCGAACTTTGAATTTCTGCTGCTGAGGAGACCCGAAGCCGGCTTATTTTTCCTGCTTCACTTTTTCGCTAACCCTTATCATCCTCGAATTTATGCTCTCAATCCGGTAGGTGGACCTTATGTCAATGGTAAATTATCCATGATCAATTCACACCCCTTAGCTGCACATCTAATCGTTCTCGTTTTTTGCCTTCATGTATGCTTTTATTTGGGATAATATTTCACTTGGCATTAAATCGTCGTCTACATTAGCAGTTTTCAAAAGATATCTGTTTACTTCCCAAACATGGAAGTTTTGAACTTTGGAAAGGGTCTTCCCGTTATTTGAGCCGGTTCCCTTGATATTAAATTGATTTATAAATATACTCATATTATCTTCTGCAGAGGCAATCTTCGCAACTATCTTCGTCCCGTTCACTTTTCAACCATTATTTCCAACTCTTGAGAACTTTGATGGCTTCATGCGTTTTGCAATTCTGCCGATAGGCTTCGCGGTCTCTGTTGGTGAGCGTGGCGGGTTCTTTAATTTTCGCCTGCTTGTCGATGAACCTTGCAGCCTGCAAGTTCGTGCCTTAGGCATTTTGGTGATTATCTCGTGGCCGTCCTGGTCTCCTCTTCATTTTGACAGTGATGTCTGCGATGAGCTCCTCCTGTTTCGCCTCCCTTATGATTGTTATTGTAGCCAGTCATGCGGTAATACTGTTGGGAACACTAATATATTTGTTTATTATGCCAGTTTACAGGCAATTTTAACGATTTGGTAGAGCACCTCTTGGGCGCCTTTCAAAACCTCGAAGACAAAAAAAACCTAAAAAAAATTCCCTATG